AATTTCTAACACTATCATATCTGGATAGTGTTCAGCTTTCCAATATGACAGACTAATAACCAAATGAAAATTCAAAGTGGTAATGAAAATTCAAGTATACCACTTTGAAATATAGTAGCAAGCTATTTCAACATGAATTTTACTGTTTAAACCCACTAAACTCGAAGCAAAACAAGATGGTTTTGTCATCTTTTATTTATTTATTATCTTGGGAAAATATTTAATAGTTTCAGTTTTTTCTGATCCTAGGACCAAAACTAAAGTTATGGGATCTTTAGGTCTTGTTTTGTTTTGATTTTTCACAATGAAATGTAAGATTTATGACTTAAAAGTGTTCTAAGACTTAGGTAACAGATCTGATTTACTTCTTAACAGGAAGTTAAAAAGCCTTTCAACGTTTTATAGACTTTGTGAGAATCCCATTTGAACCTTGTCACTGACCCTCTGTTGAAGGAATGAACACAGGGAAAACAGACATTGGCCAGCAGACAAATGTATTCATTTTTCTGGATGTACTGTGGCGATTATTACTCTTCTCCTTTATTATCTTAAGTTGTTAGCAATAGTTCTTTTTTTTTTTTAAGATTTTATTTATTTATTTGATAGAGAGACAGTGAGAGAGGGAACACAAGCAGTGGGAGTGGGAGAGGGAGAAGCAGACTTCCCGCGGAGCAGAGAGCCCGATGCAGGGCTCGATCCCAGGACCCTGGGAACATGACCTGAGCCGAAGGCAGACGCTTAACGACTGAGCCACCCAGGCACCCCATTAGCAATAGTTCTTGAGCTAAAAGTTATTGCATAATTTAAGAAGAAAGAAGAAAGCTCTAGCATAATTTGTCCTCAGAATATATAATGACTATGGGCTTTACAGTCAGATAGCCCTGGGTTTGAGTTGATATATCTATTTACTGTTTGTCCTTAGGAAGTTATTGTACAACCTCTCCTAGCCTCAGCTTCTGTATCTGTAGAATGAGCATGATGTCTACCTCCTAGAATTATTGAGAGGATTAAACATGGTTATGTAAAAATGCCTAGAAATGTGCCTAGCACATAGTTAAATACTCAAATTTTAGTTTTCTTTTAATTCTTATTTTAATCATTTTAAAAGATAATTTGTGAGAAAAATACTGCCCTAAGGGAATTATTATAGAAAAATGATTACCAATAGGATACTGCAGCACAATGAAATAGTTAACCAGGCTACCTTTGAAACTACACTTTTAACTTCAGAGTTTACTGTAATCAGAATGATAGTGTGATAGTGCATTTATTCAGACAGTGTTTGCTGAGATCACTTAGATCTTTGTGATTTGCTGTGATCTTTCGAGCTGACCTGTCCGTACATGGTCAGAGAGGCTAACTTGCCTCAGGTCACATGACTGGGAAGCAGGCAGAGCCAGAACATGAACTCTTGCTGTCAGTCTGTTTCTACTTAGAGCAAGAGCTTTCCATTGGAGCTTCAAGATAATACTGGCTTTGAGGAAGCAAGCCTCAATGGAACAAGCGTCAATATAAAAAGAGACTTTAGGCATATTTCAGTAAATAAATACTCTTGGATGGGGTTCAAGATGGATCTTATCTATACCAAAGTTACTCTGTAGAGACTGGTGTTATGAGATACCAAGGGGGCATATCACTCTCTCAAACATACTTTGCGTTGCATGTATCCACACACACACTCACTTGTGCCTTCGAAGCACTCTATTAAACATTTAAATAAAGGGAAAAATCTTTCCCTAACATACTTCTAAGCCAATTTAGAGGTCGTTGAACAGATGTCATATAATACTAATGTTAAATTACCCTGTGTAATAAGAAAATTACAGCTCCTAAGTGAAGATAGCGAAGGGAAACCATCCAGTGAATTATTCTAGAATTTCAAAATGAAATTATTTCTTCAAAATTAACAGTGGCACCATATAACTTTAGAAAAGTGAGTCTGAGAGGGAGAAGGGAAATCAGAGACAAAAGAGAAGCCTTTCTGTGTTTATATATGTCAGTTTTGGGTTATGACGCTAGAAGAGCTAATGTAATAGTATAACTTTCAGTTGTCCAGGAAGTATATTATTAAACTATGTGGCAAGAAATTTATTAAAATCTGACTGACTGCTCATTGGGTTGTTTAATATAAAATCACAATAGTTGTTTCTAGTCTACATATACTTCCTTTTGCTATTAGGTACACTTTAAAAGCCTAATTATTTGAGAATATGGTATAACCAGAGAAGAAAAATGTACAAAGTTCGACAACTTTTAATAAGCACTAGCATTTCTTAAAGAAAAAAAAAAAAACCTCACTTAGAGGTAGGAAACAATATTTATATTTAAGGTTGAAAAGCCAGGATATAGGAACATTTTGCTAATTTGGAAGATGACCTTTAAGTGCACCAAAACCAAATAATTTGTAGGCTCTGACATAGGGCACATTCCTACAAAATTTGTGTGAATACTGCTTTAGTGGTTCTTGAAAGACAAACAAAGAAAGCTGGACTGAAATCTTTATCCCCCTCCCAGATAAGACGGAGTCTGACAAAAGAGCACAGCACTCTTTCAAAGCTTGCCATGAAAACGAGGTCTCTGTAGCACAGTTAATGAGATGGTTCGTGGTGGAAAAACAATCTGTTTTTAAGAATGTTTAGATCAAAAGTAATTTCTAATCTATGAAATAAAGTCTCCTCAATACCCTTCATTCACCAGGAAAGCTTTTATGTTTGTCATATTTACTTCAATCAGATGTTTTCAATTTTACCTTTTCTCTCTGTACAAATACTTAACGTGGTTCGTCAATACTGACCAACAATTTTATTCTCTTTCTTCAGAAAAGAGAGATTTTTGAGAGAGGGAGAATGAAAAAGAGAGAAACATCTTTGCCTAAACGATTTGCAAGCATCTGTGCTTTAAGCTACTTTTTATGAACACTCCTTAGTAAATGACTCAAGGTAAAAAAGCAGAAAAGCATCCAATGTTAGGAAATTGCAACCCAATACCGTGTAATTTAAACCTGCAGTTGCTTCTCTTATGCTAAATGACATACAGATGGGTAGCTTAGTTCTCTCAATTTTGGGAACACAATTGGTCTTTTTGTATGAATGAACATAGATCAACAAAAATATTTTGGACAGAATCGTTTAATTCTAATTGTACAGGTTTTAATTATCCATGCCAGGGGAAAGAATACTTTTAACTCGGAGATTCTGTCGCGTTAAATTGGCAATTAATGAATCTTTTTGGGCAAAATCAACAGAGATACAACCCTCCCAACTAATTGAGAAATAAAAACAAAAAGATAGCTTTTAAGAAGCCTACAGTGGACGGAGCAGGAACTCGGTTATGACAGTCAACTGAGAGGTAACAAAGAGCAGTTCTGCGTTCAGGCTCTGGAGAGGCTTGCTCTGACAGGACAAACATTTCTCATCTGCCCCTCGGAAAAGATTAAAAGTGTAAGTAGTAGGTGTTTGGAGAAAGCCTAGTGTAATATGGGTTCCACTGAGATGAGAGAGCCACACACCATCAGCGATATGCCCGTCCGCTCTGTGGAAGGTCAGGAGAGGCGCTGTTTGACAGCCCACAGGCCTGCAGCAAGGTGCGGCTTTCTATTTGGCTCTGGTTAGCTATCTTCCTGACTCTGTATTTTCTCATCGAGAATCAGCCGCTCTATCTTGGTGGCCCTGATCCTGGAAGCTGATATGCTTCTTCAATCCCACAATCAGGGGAACCGGTTAGTCATTTTTTTTCCTGGTTTCATTTCAGTGACCTCACATACTGTGACATCAGGTGACTTAACAGTAAAAGACACAGGGAGCATTTCTATTTTAATCAGAGTTCTTTTCATTTCAGAGGAAGTTGAGTTTAGTATTCAGGGGATGAAGCAAGCTTTCTTTTAGTAATTTCAAAACGTGGTAAGAGATTTTTGCACCTAGGGCCAACTGCAGGCCCCTTTCCCACTGTGATGAATGGCAAAAAAAAAAAAAAAAAAAAAAGGCAATTCTACTGCAGTGAGTAAGGGTTGCCCTGTCTCGGAGTTATATTTCTTTTCAATCATTTGCGTAGGTAAAATAAAATACCACGTATAAACAGGTGTTGTCTGAACATTTTACTGCAGTCTGTATAGGTTGAAATAAAAGCTGCCATTGTTATTACAATCACATTAAAATTATTTCGCCATTTGAATACACTTAATCAGTGAAGTCTTCCTAGATATACTTTGCAAAAAGAAGACTGTAGGTCTCTAAGTAAAATCACATTCCCTTTACTTCTTCTCTTTGTCTTCCCCCTGCCCCTATTTTTCTCACCTTTTCTTTGGAACTTATTGAATCTACATTAGTGTAAAACCTTCTTCTGGAGTCTATTAAAGCCTTTCTTGCTGCCTGTTTAACATTGTAAGATACAGTCTTTAAAGACATTTGTTTTTAAGGACTCTACAGAGCCTAGTGAAGTGGCTGACAGAATCACAGAGAAGGACAAATTCCTAGTTATGGAAAAATGCATCTTTAGGGTTTAAAAAAATTGGCTGCCATTTAAATGGCCCAGAATAGAAACGGAATGGTGGTGTCAAGCTATTCTGCTAAGTTGCAAAATTATTGAATGGGGAATTATTACTTAGCATAATATGCCCATCATCTTATACACATACAGTGTAAATGTTTATAAACAGGGTTATGCTTTTTGAATTTCTTTGAAGAAAAGGATTTCCTGGTGTTAGGAGACATAGAGGATGTGCTACCATCTTTGGGAATGTTCAGTGAGTTGTTCCCATCCCATGTTGGCATCTTTGGCTGTGGCACCTTGTCAGTGCTCCAGTGGGAGCTCCTGTATCTTGAGAAAGATTCTCTTCAAACTGAGAGAACTAGTCAGCTGCAGTTCAGATAGGTTTGGTGCATCAGGGACTGGTCTAGTGGTTGACAAGTGACTGCAGAAGCTGGGCGGTGGCGGCCAGCCAAAGCAAGTATTTAGGATTCAAACTAAAAAGACTCCTTCTCCCATATCCTCTCTCTTTCCAGGGTCATGTAGGGATAAAAAGAACTGTAAGGTGGTCTTCTCCCAGCAGGAACTAAGGAAGCGACTAACACCCCTGCAGTACCATGTCACTCAGGAGAAAGGGACCGAAAGGTAAGATGAGCTGTAAGAAAAAGTCATTAAGAACTAGTTTTCTTTGCCTTCCCACCCCCTCCCATCCCCCACGGCTCTGAATCCTTTCCCTTGCCATTTAATTTAAAGAATTCTACACTTATTTGCTAAAATCTACAAATTAGTATCCTTGAAAAGGTTGAAAATGGTATTGTTTAGGTTAAGACTAAGTTTTATTTATTCTTTCCCCCATTTAATGAACACTCTATCTTATGTAAAATCACAAGGCTTTTATTAAGGGCCTGTTTTTAGTTTACTACAAAATGTGTGGAAGTAATCGCGATTTAGGTACATTTTTGGGGAAGACATCACAGTAAGCAAAACCATGAGGGACATGGCGCTGTGCCAGGATGCTGAAATTTTGAAGGTGGCCATTGTAAGTATAGACGTTTTGGCTGCAAAAAGAAGGGAGCATAATTTAGTTCCTTTGGACCCCACTCCAATTTCTTTTTGAAGCGCATGTGGAGAAAGTATTTATTGGCTCATTTGTGGTCGGAATGTCAAAAATTTTCAATAACTGCCCTCACATGGCTTTGGTCCTTGGAGGTTCGCCCTAAGTCCTGAAAAAAGAGTTTGTTCACTTCCAAGACGTTTTTAGTGAATAAAGTCTCTCTCAGCTGATTCCAGCTCAAAGGTAACCTGCCACGGTCCAACCATTTTGCTGTTTAATTTATACCATGGGGGCTGGCATGAGGCTGTAACTTACCTCTGATCCAAATTTATTAATGATGTAACTTCTTGTTTTCATTCATGAACTGAAAGAGTTCTTTACCACACATGGGGGCCTTGTTAATAGGCAACACTCTCCTCCTGTCGCAGTATATACTGTTTACCGAATTTACCGAACGTTGAATCTCTGACAACGTCTACTCTCACCACACAGTGAGCCGGTGGTGGCCTTCAGCCTCAGCCCAGGAGGACCTCTACCCGTCCTGTTGGGTACATGACTAGCAAAATGATTTAATGCACACAAACAACTAGAGATTAGGTCATTCTTAAAAATTCTGTTTATAAAAAAATTGGACCTCATAAAGAGGGTGAAAGAATAATAAAAACAAGCTGCAGAGCACATAGACTTTTTGTTGGGCTAGCACAGCTGATTTGTATTAGCTGAATGACCTCCTAGCCTTTAAGATTGTTAACTTAGAAAAATATTCCCTTAAAGCTGCAATATTCCTTTTCAAACCAAAAAATAAGCCTCCTTCCGCTTGAAGTCTTGGACCCTTCTGCATTTTTGGGTATACACTCTTGGACACTGTAGAGTACGCAGAAATCTTATGTAGTAATGGTTTTTTTTTTCCCCCCTGCAAATCTGAATTACAAGGATTTTGTTTTGTTTTTTTTTTTTTGAATAGGAAAAATTTTTTTCTAAGCATTACATAATTAGGTGGCTTGATCTTTTTTTTTTTAACCTGCCCTACTTTGGAGTAGTTATACGCACATTTTATTATATAGATTTGAAATATATTAGTAATGTTCAGATTTCCAAATGTTTGGTCTGTTCTCCTCTTAGGACAAAAAGCCCTTGGAGTATTTAATAGAAAAGTATATTTTAAGCAAATACATTCTATAAGAAATAATACTAACTTTAATTTTTTTAATGCTCTGTTTTTTGTTTATCAGTGCCTTTGAAGGAGAATATACACATCACAAAGATCCTGGAATATATAAATGTGTTGTTTGTGGAACTCCGTTGTTCAAGTAAGTATGTTAAAAACCCAGGGATATGGAAATATCACAGATGGCAACAAACTAGTTATTGCTCATTCACTTTAGAATCTTTATACTACTAAAAAAAAGAATCTTTATGCTACTAAATTTTCTTATTTCTATTATTTCTATTTTCTCTCCACAAAAGTAATTATTGACTTTCATGATAAATTACCAGTTTGGTAGACTGGCTAACTTTGCACTGTTTGGATCTTTGAAATACCTGACGTTAACTTGCTCATCATAATTAACCATGGTGCTTAGAAGAGCTATGAGAGAGATTTTGGTGGGCATAGAAATGTTAATGTATTTATTGATTTTTCGTTTATCAAGTGATGGCCCTAAATTCATTTATTGGGCCATAGTAAAAGTTCTTCATGTGCATCCTTCAGATTGAATAATATCTACCAAGTTGATTATTCATATTTCTGCAAGGAAGTGCAATAGTATTGAAAGTAGCATGGGTATTATAGTTGATAGTTACACATATGTAAGCAAATTACCTTTATTTTAAGGATCCCAATAGTGTACTATAAAACAAGCAGTATATAGACTTTTTCACCAAAATAGTCAATTCAGACAGTGTAGATTATGGATCTTATTCGGGAAAGGAAAGTCTTTACCAAAATTTACTTATCTAGGTGTAGAAAAATCCTGGAAGCCCTGTACTTCCCATGGGGATGCATATTTAGGGGAATGAAAAGACAGAAGCCTTAATTGAGAGTAAATGTCATTTATTTAAAGCAGAATTACAAATTTCTAAGGGGAAATGAACAAACAAGAATCTGATACATGTAGCATGTGAAACATACTTAATATCTCTCCATAAATGTTTCCCTTTTAAAACACTAGCATTTACAGATTTTCCAGAAATAACGGGAAACCGTAGTTTCCTTGAAATTTTTTAGAAGTTTAAAACCTTTCTTAACTTGCATAAACCTTATTGCACATTAGTGTTGGTTGAGAATCTGTTCTGAATTCTTACGTATTTATTCTTCATGTTAAAAAAAACCAGCCCTTCAAATTGTCACCCATTTCCTCTCAGAAAACACACGTCCTTATATTTCAACACTTTTAGCTTGTGTCATAATAGTTGATATAACACTTAAGATAGTTGCTGAGCCATGTTAAACTTGTTAATATCCCAAATGGAAAAAATTGGCCACATCCCCTTTGCCTTTTGTTTAAGATTCTCCATCTCTTTCCCCATCACGTGATTCAGAAAAGTAGTGGATCTAAGGAAAACTTATTGTTTTAAATAAGAAACAGAACCACTGTAAATGAAGGATTTAACCCATGTGAGATTTTGAGTGACAAATACTAAAAAGCAAGACCTTTGTTTAAACATAGGTACTGGTGAGATTCAGGGAGTTTCATATTTGAGGTGATATTGTGTCAATTTCCTGCAGCATTCTTATAGGGAAAGCTTTTATTTTCTAAGTTTCTAAGGAATATGGTTTAATATTTTTATTCTATTCCCCCCCCCCCATTTTTAAATTGTATGCTTTTCGTTCCTTGGTTTCTTGTCAATTTTAGTGGTGGAAATGCTTTAGCCTTTATTGTAGATTTCATTCGTTCATTGGTCCAGTGCTGCTGTCTTCAGAATGGAGAAACTGTACCTTGGGTGTCCATCAAGACTTTCCAGGGGCCACAGGGCATGGGCAGTTTTGAGGGAATCAATTTTCTGGTCCTCAGCTTCTATATGTATGCTTCCCTGACACTGATGTGTCTGAGAGAGTCTGTGGTCGCTCACCTCTTTCTTCCTATCTCCTCTATCATTATCCTGTTTACAGAAGATGTCATACCTTTTCACTCATTCCAAATCCTACTATGATTTATTATCCTGGGATAAAATCTCTAAGGCATCAAGCAAAATGACAGTTCAAGAATGCATTACTCCTGAAGGGGAAACCCAGGAAAGCAAAGCCAAAAAAAAATATTGAAAAATATTGAACCGGTAAAAAAATATTGAAATAATATTTCATCTTGGTAAGACTCAGTTGGCCTGCCTGCTATCTGCTTATCCATCTTTCCATCCGTTTTCTACTGGTCTCCTGTTGTCATGAGGATATGTATCCAGATATTTATTTAAATTTTAAAAATGAAAGTCTTTTTCTTTTTGACAGTTTCATTTGGTTGATAGATATGACAGAGAGGACTCCTTTTGCAAATGAGGTTATAGGGTGGACTTCTCCATTCATTAAATGACCTAAATGTATAGCTCCAAGGTTTTGACAAAAACGTATTTTAAACATGTAATCTATTTACAGAACACCAGAAAATTCAATTATTTTTTTTCAATTATTTAAATTTTGATAAGAAATTTTAGTGGTTACTTTAAAATATATAAGGGAGTATGTATCAGTCAGCACATAATCTGGATACAGACACCACACAGTAATTTGAACAGGAAAGTATAATGTAAAGAATTACGACCCTTAACAGACGATTATGGTAATGAGGGATTGGCTAGAAGAGAGTAAATAGAAATTCTGAAGAATATAAGAAGCAATCATGACCCCTAGGGCTGAGGTAGAGCCCAGGGCGAAGCGCCCCCTGAGTACCCCTCCCAGGGGCTGAGGTCTGGGTCTTGCTGGAGAGGGCGGGGCTGAACCTCACTGAACAGCAGTGAAGTCACTGCGGGGACCCATGCCTGGGCCACTTTCTGGAAATGCACCTTCTGGAATTTGCTGGAAATCTCCCCTCTGCGGTGCTGGGGAAAGCCGTTTAGAGGGAGGTGTCTCACTACGGGCATTCCACTACAAAAGTACCGGAGTGGCCGAGGAGCGGGGGTGGCGGGCTGGGGTGGCCGGGGGAGCCGCCTCCTGCCAGGTGCTGCTGATTCCTGGCACCGCAGGCACTAGCTGGCCCTGGAGAGGCCGCTTGTGCTGGAGGAGGCTGTCACCAGGGAGCCTGTCGCCAGGGAGTGCACTGCGGAGGCCGGGGCTGGAGACGTTCATACTGCGGCAGCCTGGCACGGGAGAAGCGGCCCGCGGAGCAAGGGCCTAGGGGCAGAGCGGCTTGGGGCGCCGCAGAAGCCAGCCGCTGGAGAAGCTCCGAGCCCTGCAGGAGCCTGTTGAGTCAGCATACTGAAACCAGGAAGGGGACCCCTTTTTCTTCCCCAGTTTTCCTCCTGTGCCCTCTGCTGACAAAGTTTAATACCGTGTTAGCTGATGAAGAAAAAAAAAAATATTTCAGGGTCCCAGCTCCGTTTTAGCAAAGCAGACAAGGCTAGAGGAGAGGGGAGGCAATAAATTGACAAAAAGCCCAGAATGTATGTATGTATGTATGTATATATGTGTGTGTATATATATAAATATTTTATATATATTTTATTATATTACTATATATATTTTTTATATATATATTCCCCCCAAAATTCTTTTAGGTTTTATGAGCAAAAGTTTGAAAGCCACTACCAGTTGAGTGAATGGCATCACTATGAGCTACCTTCTTGAGATAGTTGGTTTCACACTTTGAACACAAAGTGCAGGGAACAGTCGAGGTGTGTGTGTGTGACTGTTGAGTGAGAAAGTGTGAGGGGTTTTTGTTCGAAAGCAGGGAATAAGGGAAGAAAATTAGGCAGAAAAGACAAAATAGAGTAACAATATGAGAAATAATAGTGGGAGGGAAACAGATAAGAAATAAGATGAGGTAAGAAAGAAGTGCTGAATTTGAAAATGCCTAATCATTAGCAGTGTGAAAATGTGGTTTCCCAACTGCTCTGTCTGTTACCAGTGCTCATTGTGTTGTGTGTGTGCGTGCGTACATTCACGTATGTGTATAATCTTCTTCTTTCACTTGATTGATGTCTATATACATAATATTTCCTTTAAAAAAGGCCATTCAATTATTCTCATTTCATTTTCAAACTTGTAATCTACCCTGAATACATTCCCTTTCAACGATATGCTGCTTTCTTACTGCTGACCAAGTACAAGAACCTTATTCACAGGCTGCTTATAAACCAAATGCGTAATTTATTCCATGGTTCACATTTTCTTCACAATCACAAATTCTACCAACCTAGTTTATTTCTCATATGGCACTACTGAGTTTCAGTTAGTAAATTAACTGACAGAGGTAAGAATGTTCTCTCCTCTGGTTATTTGAACTTATAAAATTTCATAAAATGAATTTATTGCACATCAGATAAACGAGAGAAGGCTTTGGCGAAATAATGTAATTCAGAATGTATTTTTGACCACTTATATTTTGCTTTGGCTAACACTTTGCCGGGTGTTGTGGAACAAATAAAATATATTTATGAACTATTTTCCCTTAAAGTACTTATAGTTTTGTTGCAGTGATAAGAACAGAATAAACACTTATAAAATATGGAAAAATAATGCTAGTGTCTATCTGGATGTGCCTGTGAGAAATGTTTTCATGTGGTGGGGCACCTGGGTGGCTTGGTCAGCTAAGTGTCCGACTCTGGATTTCGGCTCAGGTCATGATCTCAGGGTGGTGAGATCTGTGCTGAGCATGGAGCCTGCTTAAGGTTCTCTCTCCCTCTCCCTCTGCCCCTCCCCTCTGCTCTTGTGCTCTCTCTCTCTCTAAAAAACAAACAAACAAACAAAAAACCAAAAAAATAATCGCTAAATATTTGTTTGTTGATTTGATTCATGTCTGAACTTTGTGGGATAGATTATGGAGAAATTTTGAGTAAGTCAGTAGCATGATGAAAATGGGAAGTAAGCCATAACAGTGCGCAAGATAGATTTCTTTTTTTTTTTAAGATTTTATTTATTTATTTGTCAGAAAGAGAGAGAGAGTGTGTGTACAAGCAGGGGGAGCGGGAGAAGGAGAAGCAGACTCCCTGCTGAGCAAGGAGACCTATTTGGAGCTTAATCCCAGGACGCTGGGATCATGACCTGAGCCAAAGGCAAATGCTTAACCGACTGAGCCACTCAGGAGCCCACAAGATAGATTTCTGGAGGTGAAAAGAGAAGGGAATAAGGATGACATCTTCAGTGGGAACTTTTTTTTCT